CAGGGCCCACAGGGACACAAACGCTCAGTGAGGCCCTCACACGGCACAGGGCCCACAGGGACACAAACGCTCAGTGAGGCCCTCACATGGCACAGGGGACAAAATAAAGCCCATAGGTTACAAACCTCCAAATAAAACTGAAGTGCACTATACTCTTCCAAATAATAATAATACCTTCATACTATACGGACATTATAGCGCAACGGTGTAGTTTTGCTAAAACATTTTTACTCTGTCACAGGAAGAAAAAAAAAACTTTAAATTTTAATGGTTATTCCTTTTCAAGATTATCTAGTATATGTTTAATAATCAGTCTAAAAGTTGTGGTTCCCCCATGGTTTACTTTGGCTTTACATATATTACAGATTGCAAGCTTTGTGTCGTCTTCATTCACAGTGAAGAACTTCCACACTAACGACATATTAGCAGGTGGCTGTGAGGCTATGGCTTGCGCCGCCGTGCGTATGACGTGTGGTGCATGCATGAAATGGAGCACTTCGATACTGGAAATACATGAGACTGATCAGCCGGTCTCCAGTCTGGGCCAAACACACTGAAAATCGGCTGATTCTGGTCTGTGGCCAGCCGACTGATCAGTGCATCTCTATTAAAAATGTGACAAAACTCCTCACTCAAAACAAACTGCCCATGACAGCTTTTTCCAAGCGTAAAACCCTGGAAATAAGTCCCTCAAATCACACTGGGTCCCTCTATGCAGCATCTATGCAGCAGCTTCTCACCCATGACCGATTGACCTGAACTGTCCAAAGGTCATCTGTCATTTACCACTAAACGCTGAGCGAGGCAGCAATTCACTACCATCGTTTAGATCCTTCACTCAAAATACGTGGGAGAGCAAAACAGAACTGAAAACACAAAAGTACTTTTTCACCGGTTTCAGTGAAGTGACCTTATTCCACAGCAAACCAACGCACTTCTCACACTGAAGCCCACAGCCAGCTAAGAGGACGGCGAGCTTACCGGCAGCGTGCTCTGGGGCAGGGCTGCAGCAGGGGGTGCACGGCCCTGGGGACAGGCTGTGTGTGGGGGAACCAGGCAGGCTCTCGCTGGATGAGACCGAGTGGTGCAGGCCGGACGAGAAGCTGCGGCTGCCGTGGATGACGCCGGTCTGTTTGGACAGCTTCTTCAGGACGCCTCGGCGTCTGTGGGGGAGAGGGCTGTCAGGCGTGCCACTTCCCAGACACAACCCCCCCCACGTTACTCATATTCAGTCCTGTGAATAATGCGTCCCTCCAGGAAAAGCCAGATAGACGCCCAAACATGGGCCCCTCGTGACATGGTGTCATGGCAGGAGGGCGGACCCACGGCATCCCAAAGGGTGGCAGGGGCATCCTATGGCAAGAGCAACGTGGGGCGGGGTCTGACCCCACAGAGACATAACCCTCCCGCCCAGGAAGCTCTTTGAGATGATCCACTACTCATCCATCACATGACTGAGGTCAGCCCCAGATACCAACAGCCTGTACCTACAGCATTAAGGCAAACACCTCTCTGCTTACAAGTAGCCTGGCCACGGCCCCACTCCCCACCTGTCCTGGCCGTCCCTCTTCCTGCTCTTCTTGCTGCGTCGGGCCATCTTGCCCCTGTAGCTGGTCTTGCGTGCTGGGCCCACCTTGATGGACGTGTTCTCCAGCGGGGTGGTCTGCAGCGCCACTTTATTCCCGCTCTGGAGGAGGGAGCACGCAGTGAGGGGGGCGGGGAACTCAAGGTCAGCCGATGGCCGGCAGCCACCCTCACCCTCCGTAGCCCCAGACCTACCTTCAGCAGCAGCTCCACAACCTCCGTGTGCACCAGCCCTTGGACGGACTCGCCGTTGACATGCGTGATGAGGTCACCGGCCCGCAGGCCGGCGTCGTGGGCGGGGCTGCCCTCTTCAACACTCTGCAACAGAGCCCGTTTTAAGATCTCCTTCAGATGTGCCCGAAACAGGGTGCCCCCTGAAGGGGCGGGGGCACAAAGCCATGAGGACTCACCCAAACCACGTGGTGCACAGTGTAGACGTCACTGTCGCCCATGTAGACACGGATAGCGCGCAGCGTGAAGCCATACTTCTTTCCAGAGCTGTGGATGATCACGGGGGGGCGCAGGCTTCGGATGCCCAGGGACAGGTCCCGGCTAGGGGAGGAGTCGCGGGACGAGGGGTTCGAGGAGAGCGAGTGCGGCGAGATGGGGCTGGTCTGCAGGCCGCCCCCAGCATCGTCTACGCAGAAGCATTGTGGGTAAACAGGCAGAGGTCATGTTCACTGAATATTTTCCATCACTGATGGAATATTTTATTTCTACATGGAAAAATTCAATCGATAACCAATATATTTTCGTCTAATGTTGCCGGTGGCAACGGTGAAACTTGCCAGCGCTTATTGGTGGAATTACATTATATTGTTTTTTTCCCCACGGAAAACAAAAGATCAATCTGTTGACCAGATTTAATAATGAATTATAAAAATGTTACAGATCGTATACATAAAAGGTTGTGTCCCATTTTCATCACGATCGCAAACTAACAAAATGACTTGCTCATCCTCCATTGTTATAGGGAAGGTGGTGTACTTCTGTATGAAGTTTTACCTATGAGCTTCCATGCTTATTTAGCATAAAGGTCACTGTTCCTGTTACGCAGGAACAGGAACAGTGCTACAGCAGCTACAAAAGTTACTGGAGTCATTCATGTGCTTCAGGTGGTGTTGGCATGAAAGGTGACTGCATGGTGGGGGTCTCCGTTCATCGTTTCTCTCCATGCCCTTTCGGGGTACTTTCACATCGAAGTTCCGGTACCTGGTCCCAGTTTACAAGTCCCTCAGCTGTCTTGACGTGGAACTTTTATAGCTCGTGGTCACTTTCATGTGCCGCTGTCACACCGCAGAACAGGAATTGGGACCTTTATTGGGACCTTTATACGGGAGAAGCTCGTAGGTTAAACGAAATTACACTGCCACTCCAAAACAATGCAGGATAAATAAGTGGTTTTGTTAGTTATTGGGGGGATTGATTGCGATCAAAACAGTTCATGTTCATGATTCTTATTAAATCGATCTTTTTTCCACAGAATAAAAAACGATGTAATGTTATCCCACTAATAAACGCTGGCAAGTTTCACATGTTTTTTGCTCCGCTAAGT